AAGACAAATGAAAAATGTGCTGGCATCACTGCATGAGACAATCGAATATAAATGGAATTTATAAAATCCTTCTGAAAGCCTATGTAGAAGATACTGCCCATGTGCTTCATTGCATTAGAAGACCAGTTAAGCTCCAGTGCCACATTTAGTAAGAAAATAAAGGTTGACAAACTAATGACAAAATTCCTGTTTTATACAGAACCTCTGCAAAGCTTTAACAAGTTCATTAATCCAATACTGATCGAAAAATTTCTGTGGATGCAGTCAATCAGTAATTGCCTAAAGGGTGTATTGTGGTGCCTTCAAATTTTTGCTGAGTTTCTCTGGTTTTCAGTAGAGAGTGTGAGAGACATAGGGTTTGTGTATTTTTGCTAAGTTTTTGGGCATATGTTCAAATTAGAATGAGAACAAATGAAAACTGATATCTTATAGCTAAAGGCTCACATGATTAAGAGAATGATATGCAGCAAATTTTAGACCAAACAAGCCACTGGGTAACAGACCTGCTTGGCAGTTAATAAAGGAAAGTTTTGGTGACCACACAAGTGGATGTGTTTGGATTTGTCAATTCCCCCTTTACCCTCAACAGCAATTTGAGCTAAAACCCATGTAGCTAAACATAGTAAAGCAGGCAACAAACCAACAAACAACACAAACAGTATGACAAGCAAAAAGAAATCACCATTAGCAAGTAGACTAATGTTAACAACAAAACTGGAAACAATGGAACCAAAAGAGAATATACTGAAAGAGAGTAAAGAGTGTCCTTTCAATACCATAAACATTGGTATTAAAAGTGTTTTGCAGAGCAGAGAGAGGGACTTCTGCAAGTGGGCCAACACATTGAATCCCAGCATTGTTGACCAGCACATCAATTCGTCCGTACTTCTCCAAAACACTAGACACCACATGATCCACACTCTCATCTGAAACCACATCCAGCTCTTGTAAAAAGAACCTTGGGTCCTCCTGAAGGTCAGCCATGGAGCTCAGTGACCTGCTCGTAGCCACCACCAGACAGTCCTCTGCAGCAAACGCATGTGCCAGGGCATGGCCTATGCCTCCTTGGGAGCACCCAGTGATCAGAACCACTTGCTGCCCGCAGAATTCCATCTGGGTTTTTCTGGGATCGATTTTGTTTTGAAGGTGTTTGATGAAAATGGAGTCAAGAAGCTCAAAGTGGAAGTGGGTCTTTTGTTAATTACGAAAAGATTGGTATAATAAGCACGCATTTAATACACGTGTAGGTACCAAATTGGATTAAATCATCCAAGAGAAATATCTCCAAATCCACATTTGGTGAACCAGTTGGATTATTTTTTTTGTTATTTTTGTTTTTGTTTTTGTCAAGTTTAATCAAATTATGTGATTTTGCCTAACTCAAATTAATGCCGTGGGACCATGCCTCATAACAAAATTAATACCCTTGAACCATATCTTGAATTAATCCCTTTAAACCATATTTGGGTTTTAAAGGAAATTTTCCCCTATATTATATATATTTTTCTAAGGGAAACTTTCCTGGTAAATGTAAAGCAATAAAGCATATATGGGTTTGGCCAGTTGACTACAGCAATGTTTGCCTTACATATGGATAAAGCACATATGAATTTGAATCTTGTTTTCCGTAAAATGTCACTTTTTTAAATAAATCAAAAACAAAAGAAAGAAGAATTGATGATAGCGTACTTGTTTGTCACACCTCCTGCCAAAAGTTAATCTCATGTTTGTTGTCATTTGGTCCTAGTATTCAGTGGAATTAGTAATCCCAGCCCACCAAAAACACCTTCTTAGGTGTTCTTAGCTAAACCCGTGTGAAAATGAGGGACTATTAGTCTCGACCAAAGCTTTGCAACCAACTCCACCCAAACGCTAGCAGCAAGGGCGGACCTAAGCTTAGGCTGGAGTGGGCTTCAGCCTAGGGGAAGATTTATAAAGTATTGAACATGGTTTAAATTTTATAAACTTTATTCCTACTCTAATAAATATTAGCCCACTCCTAAAGCATATAGGAAATAATAACATCAATCCAAACCTATATAAATTTGATTTGAAAGTAGAATTCATGCTATGGCTCTACAAAAATCAACAATTGTATATTTTTTGGGTGTGTTTATAAATGGGTTTTGAGTGTGTGTAATGAAGGTTTTTGGGTGTGTTTATAAAGTGTTTTGGGTGTTGGGTTTTTTTATAATTTCAGCCCCCATTTTGGGTGTTTTAGTGAAACCCCCAAAAGTTAATCCCATGTTTGTTGTCATTTGGTCCTAATATTAAGTGGGATTAGTAATCCCAGGCCCACCAAAAACACCTTCTTAGGTGTTCTTAGCTAAACCCGTGTGAAAATGAGGGACTATTAGTCTCGACCAAAGCTTTGCAACCAACTCCACCCAAACGCTAGCAGCAAGGGCGGACCTAAGCTTAGGCTGGAGTGGGCTCCAGCCTAGGGGAAGATTTATAAAGTATTGAACATGGTTTAAATTTTATAAACTTTATTCCTACTCTAATAAATATTAGCCTACTCCTAAAGCATATAGGAAATAATAACATCAATCCAAACCTATATAAATTTGATTTGAAAGTAGAATTCATGCTATGGCTCTACCAACTTGAGCTATTCTAATCGTACTGATATTGGGCTACACCCACAGAGAGCAAACATCAAAAATTTCCTTCTAGCCACCCAAAACGCCATATTTGAACCTTGAGAGCCTAGAGGAAATAGCTCTCCTCCTCTAAAAAATTGTACCAACCTATCTTCAATGGGTTCTTCAATCTTGGTAAGTTTTTATTATTATTTATTATTATATATATTCAATTTCCAATTTTAATTGTTGTTGTTAAGTTTTTATGATTTAGGGTTAGGGTGAAAACTTTTGGAGATGTTGAGGCCCAAAAAATCCGTGGTTGGGCCCGAATAAATTCCAGGCCCAAGATGACATATTATTGAAAAAAGACTCGATTTGAAGTGCACAAAAGTCAGCCATGCACGAGCCATATCCCACATGCCACGCAAAAATAGAAATCTATCATGACAGAAGCTGAGATTAAATTTATAAGGATGCATTTAGCTCTGCAAATTTGTGCCAATCGTCCTATCAAGCGTCATACTTAAAAAAGCACGCCAAGCGACATGCCATGCCAAGCGAGAAATTATTATCTCACAANNCATTGCCCCAATTAGAATAAGCCAACTAAAAGGCCCAACACTTGATCAGATTATCCCATCTATTAGATGAATCATGTGGTGGACTTAAAAAGCCTATGTAATTAGAATAAAAAGGGAGCACAAGTCTTGGCACTCAGCTGGGAGAGTAAATCACGAAGGAGCTTGGAGAGTCCACACGTGATTGGCTGCTGGGAGGCTTGGGAGCAAGTTCCAAGCAAAAATCCTCCAAGGAACCAAGGGATATTAGCACGCAAGGAAGGATGCCATTCCTTAAACCAGCAGGCGCACCCACTTTCTTTCCTTCAGCAGATTTGGCCATGGAAAGAGGAAGAAAGAGGAGAAAGAAGATGGGTGAAAAAGGGAAGTTCCCCTCTGAGGCAGCCACTGGAAGAAACTTGGAGCACCCAAAATCTCTGATTTTGTGGGATTGGGCAGATCTGACTTTGCCACCATGAAGTAAGTCAAGAAAGAGGAGAAGAAAATAAGAGGAAAGCTTAGCTAGATTGGGAAGAAACCATTAGGGTTTCTTGGAGAAGAACAAACCTCAGCAACTATAAATAGGGCCTCTTCTACCCAACACAACACAACCCACAACCTTCAGAGAGCAAGCTTCCTCTCTTGCATGCAAAATCCAGCAATTTTCGTGCTATCCTTGTCCATTTTTCCCTTATTTCCCCGGTTTTGGCAGATTGACAGAAGCTTTGACAGAGTCATCGTCAAGCTGCCGGAAATTACGAAAATCACCCAAAACTCTCCACCAATCCTCCTTAGAACCTCTCCTCTCTTCCATTAGAATCTCTGACCTTCATAGGAACCCACGTTCTCTCTCCTAAAGTGCTAAACCCATGATAATTCTGCTCTCATGCCACATGCCTCTCACGCCAAGCCCAAAAGTTTATTTGTAAATGTGAAGAAATTATCTGTAAGTTGCTGTTGTTTTTGTTGGAGAAGATAACCAAAATACTTCCTAAGGCATTGCTGCCCTTTCGAAGCATTTTGGGGCTTAATTTTCGAACTCAGACAAAGGGGACAACTTCACCAGCCCAGCCCACTTGCTGCCGGAAGAAAAAGACCCCTACAGGAGACTGTTGATATATATTTTATTTTTACAACTTGAATTATTAATTAGCATATATGATTTTTGAAGTTGGACAATGGTTTGATTTGGTATTTATTTATATTTTGTACTTCTTTATGTTATATTGCTTGTAATGTGGCCATGTTTGATTTATGAAATTTTATTTACATTTTTTGTTTCAAGAGAAAAAAAAGACTTATAATATATCTCCTCTATAATAAAAAATATTTAGCCTACCCTTATAAAAATTCTTGAGTCCACCATTTGATAGCGGCAACCACCGACCACCCAAACAGCAATGACAACCATTGACTATTGGTTGCAGATGGCAATGGCAGGCAGCAACAACGATGGCAGACGGCGACGGCAATCGATGTCGGCGACGACAGACCACCACGGCGATTGAAGCTATTCCACGATTTATCTTTGGGTCTTCATCAATTTGAGTTTGCTTCTGCCTCTCTCTCAAGTTTGTTTGTGGATGATGATTTTGGTGTGGGCTATGGATTTCTGCCATGATTTAGGTGTGAGCTCCTGCCTCTCCCTCAAATTTATTTATGCAAATTACTTACCACACCAAAGCCAAAGTATCTGAACTGGATGATGTTTTTAGGTGGGGTAGAAATTAGAAGAAGAGAGAATATAGATTGAGAAGAAGAGAAGGAGAGAGCAGGGAGAAGAAGAGATGAAAAAGAAAAGACGCAGAGATAGAAGATGAAGAAAAAAGAGCATAGGGAGAGAGAAGAAAAGTAAAAATAAAAAAATAAAAAAATTCATTTGCTTTCTTTTTAAAAATTAAAAATTAAAAAATTTAAAAAATTTAGTCCTAATCCAATCGTACACCAAACGCAGTATTAGGCTTATCCAGCTAAAGGAAAGAATTATGATGAAGAATCTTGCTTTTCAGAAAAATAGGTGTAGTGTAGTTGTTGTTAGTAAAAGAGTATTGTGGGAATTTGATGAACTGACCTTACTTTATCTTCATCTGTATTTGTAGAGAATTTACTTGATGTGAATTCATTGACTATAAAGTTGGCTTTTTTCGAACTTAATTATATGTCTTTGTAGTCCTTAAACTTCACTTTCGTTAGCAGTATTGATCATGTGTTACTTTTTCTATCAAATTTAGCGGCAAAACAATAGCTTTACGTGAAAACTCAAAAAAAAAAATTCTTGGACAAACACAAACACTTCACACTCATTCTTGCATAAAAGAAATTAGTCCTTTGATGCAACTACTTAACAAAAAGCCTCTCACACATCTCTTCTTTCTGTGCACAAGCTTTCTGGAGTGAATTAAAAATTGAGGTTTTCAATCAACAATCAGCATGATCATGACCATGGCGTATTTGTGATGGGAGAGAATTTCCGGTCAAATTTGTGCTGTCAGTCAAATCTAACGACTCTTTGCCTACATGGCCCAACTGAGCCATGCTCTTGAGCTTTGAATTTCACTTATTTTATTTCCAGCATTATGCAGAGTTAATCTCCCTTTCATTCCAGATATATGGGGTTGGGATTGGTATATATTTGTTAATTTAAAGTGGCCAGGGACTTACATCTGATTGATTATTTGATATATACTTTGCTTTTTCTTTTTCTTCTCATTAAAACATTAAAAACTAGAGGTGGTATTTTAGACCCAAAAATTGCAAAACCGCAAAAACCAACCGAGATATTAACACATTTGAACCAAACAAGGGGGAAAACTGACCGCAATTTGAGGTTTGAGGAACCGCACCGCCATTGCGGTGGCGGTTTGGAAAATACCAAGTTTGCGATTATCGCAAACCGCAAATAGTTTTTAATTAATAATAAAAATATATTTTTATAATTAATTGATAATCTAACGGCTACGATCAGACCTAA